AGCTGACAGAAGACAACTTTCTCCAGGACTTTAGAAAGAAATTGGTCTGTAGTTGGATAAAACTGCTGGATCCAGGTTTGGCTTTTTAAGAATAGGTTCCACCACAGCATGTTTGAAGTCAGCAAGGACACACCCAGACTGAAGACTGCTATTGACAATAGAAAGCAAACTCGTACCCAGTTTCAAACACATCTTTCTGTAAATTGGATGGAACAATATCCAAAGTACATCTTGTGAGTTTCAAGTTGTTGACCACTTCACTCAGTAATGAAAAGGACACAGTCTCAAAATGGTCAAATGCAACTGAAGCTGGTGTGTGAACAGATGGGTCGGTAGCAGGAGGGACAATATGAGACCTGATATCCACAGTCCTATTAATGAAGAATTTCATTAAGTTTTCACATGTTGCTTTCGATGCCACATGGGGAGCAGCAGTAGGCGGATTAAGAACAGAGTTAATAATGCTGAATAAAATATGAGGTTTGTGACAATTATTAGACACAATCTTAGAGAAATACTTTGTTTTTGCTGCTCTTACGGCCTTTTGATAATTTAACGAGTAAGTACATGAAACTATACCCGAAGTCTGTCCTTTTTCCATTTTTGCTCAGCTGTTCTACACACCTGTCTGAGTTCTTGGTAGCATTATTCAACCAAGGCTGGGTTTTAGGTTTTAGACACCTGGTATTGACGGGAGCAATGGAATCGAGTATTTCCAAGCAGGTTGAATTAAACAGAAAAGGTAGGCAATCAGTGGTCAATTGAGTGGAATCATTAGAAATTAAGGCATGATTAGACTTTTTATAAGAACAAACAAAACGATCAGCTGTATCTGAGGTAATCATGCGAGATCGGTATTTGGGTACATCGGGTCTAACAGACTGACATGAAAAAGGGAAATATTACAGGCATGTGGTCAGAGAAATTAATGTTGCAGATCTCAGTGTCACAGAGAGTCAGGCCACTAGACAGTACGAGGTCCAAGGTATGCCCATGTTCGGGTGTTGGGCCTTTAACTGACTGAACAAAATTAAAAGAGTCTATAAGATTTAAGAAGTCATTAGTCAGCGGTGTATTTAAGCAGCAAATGTGGATATTAAAATCCCCTACAATTAAAACACTGCCATACCTTGGCATAATTCCTGCCTAGAATTCAGAGAAGTACTTGATAAAATTCTTATTGTACTTCGGTGGTCGGTACACCAGTGCACACAGCACCAGAGTGGACAGCTGAATTTCAAACAACTGCAGTTCAAAGCAAGGATAAGCACCCGCTGTCAGCTACTGACAGTTGAAACAGTTTTTATAAAAAACCCTCCACCCTGGCCGGTAGTCTGAGGCGAGTTGAGATAGTTACAGTCTGGAGGGATAAGTTCAGAAAGTGGGCTCAAGTCACCCAAGTTTAGCCAAGTCTCTGTCACCAGAAGAAAATCCAAGCGACGACCGGTGAAGAAGTCATTCAAAATAAAGGTCTTGTTTGCTAGCAACCTAGCATTAACCAGAGCCAATCTAGCAAACACAGTCTTGCTAGCTGGCTGGGGTGATCGACCCAGAGGACAGAGATTCTGGTGATCCAGTCCCCCTCTGCGAAGGCGAGGGGACAGATGCCGTGATGCCGGACACTGAGATGCGGGGCCACTGGTACAATCCATCGGTGATCCGATTCCAGGGATCGCCAGGAGATTAACAACTTGGTGTCCGGGGCAAATTTGTCCAGAAGAGCGCGAGGATTAGTCATCGGTGATGCAGCTATGTAGGTTTTAAATTTTACCAATATACCACCCGGTTTCCCTTGCCTTCTGTGGCATTTCTTCCTGGAGGTATGGCAGGGTGAATTGCAGCAGAGGAACAGTGGTACAGTCTCTAACACAGGTGGAATGCGAAATTCCTCGCATCCTGGGGCCAGTCAGGACTTCTCTTCAAAAGTGGCTCGGATATTTAGTAGTGATTGAAAGTCATAAACCAGAAGAGCAGAGACATTTTGAAGAAAACAGGGGTTGATAAAGTTAGCAAAAACAAAATGGGTAAAATCTGATGGCAAGCTGCACACACAGGCGCCATCTTGAAAAGGGCGAGAGAAAATAGGGTTTAACTTAGCCACATTTCTTTAATGATAAAAACAAGATTGAACCAGAGATTTTACATGCCCATTAAATGTGAGAGTCGAGCCCAAAGTAACACATAAATTCCTGATAGAGGATTTAACATACACCGAGAGAGGACCAAGGGCTTCCACTATCTGGGATAAAAATCTGTCCGGAGCGCATACGAGGACTTCAATTTTCCCCTCGTTGAGTTGAAGGAAGCTTGCAGCCATCCAACATTTGATGGAATCTAAGCAGTCATTCAGAAGCTGAAGCTTAGATAAATCCTGGGGCTTAAAAGAAATGTACAACTGAATTTCATCAGCATAACAGTGATAAGAAATGTCCTCAAAGGAGCCCATTATATGCTGGAGGGGGAGAAGATATATTAAAAACAATAAAAAAGAATAAAGGGCCCAAAACTGAACTTGTACTTTAGGAA